GAGATTTTTTGGGTACCCCCCCTTTAAGGTAGATATAATGGAGGAGTTCAATCGCTACACTGAGGCCTATGCGAATCGTGAGGATTGAGCGTGGGTATTTTATGCTAATCCAAGGATTAACTATACTAGATAAGTATAACGGATTAGTATAATCTTCATATTTTTATAACAAGGAACTATTTTATAACTATTTTAAATACGCTTTTGATAAATGAATTTACGGTCGAAAATGTCAACTCGGATGTTCTTCACAGTATGCAAAATGAAATCATTTCTAATGTATCTTTAATGGTGTTTTTAAGTTTTCAAAAATAACAGTTTAATTATTTTTCTTCCCGAAGTGAGGCAGTCACACTGGCGGAAGAAAGCTTGTCCCGGCTGGTATTCTGCGTAACAGATTGACCTTACTTTACTGTGAACGACTTTCGTTCCCAAAATAGCGGAGGCAATCATGCAGTCGAGGAGTTAACCGATACACAGATGTCGACAAGGATAATCAAGCTTCTGCTTCGCTTTTGTTGTTGTTATTTTTTAAAATGCGAATGTCTTTAAAGTGACTGAGGGCGACCGAGCAATGAGATTATGATTATGTGTGTTTAAACGTTGGTTCGAATGAAACAAGGTCAAATAATTCGGTGACTAACTGTAATAAAACAGGCATTGTAATCTACATTTATTTTTGGAGGGCTCTTGATGAGCTGTAATAAAACCATAAACAATGTCTGATAAGAGTAGAAAAATAAAAACGTTGTTTCTTGGCACAATGAAAGATAAAGTCTTTATTGAACATTTCAGCCGACATTTTAATAAATATTTTGTCTTTCACTGTGCCAAAAAAAACGTCTTTTTTTGTTTTTCTACTCTTAATATAGTAGCGCAATGTAACTGAATAGAATAAAATAATGTCTAATAAGGTTATATTATATAAGAATAAAACATTGTCTAATAAGATTATATTATAAAAGAATAAAACAATGCCTAATAAGATTATATTATAAAAGAATAAAACAATGCCTAATAAGGTTATATTATAAAACAATAAAACAATGCCTAATAAGATTATATTATTAAACAATAAAACAATGCCCAATAAGGTTATATTATAAAACAATAAAACAGTGTCTAATAAGGTTATATTATAAAATAATAAAACAATGTCTAATAAGATTATATTATAAAACAATAAAACAGTGTCTAATAAGGTTATATTATAAAACAATGTCTAATTAGGTTATATTATATAGAAATAAAACAGTGTCTAATAAGGTTATATTATAAAATAATAAAACAATGTCCTCTGATAATTGTACTAAAATGAACCAAACTCACGTCTAACGTTGTTCCAGGTTAAATGTTAAGTTCGTGGTTGTAACTGTTTCTTGTTTCTTCATATGTCATATATATACATATACGTTATGAGAAGAAGCAGGTGGTGTAACCCTAACCAGTTTCTTTCTTTAGGGTTTTCGAACAAATCTAATGATATTAATTTACGTTTTATTTTAGTTTATATTATTACGGTGTAATATGCGATAACTTTCTATATATTTTTCTGTTTATTTGTTTGTTTCTTTGTTTAAGCGCAAAGCCAGACAATAAAATATCTGTGCTCTGTCCACCTTGAGGAATGGAACTCCCTATTTTTGAGTTGTAATTCTGCAAACTTAACGCTAAGCTACTGGGGGACTTTGTTGTTTTCTTTCTTAATTAAACAAAAACTGAGCTTATATGAAACTTTCCATTCGAATCTAAAACTACCTACTATTGACAGGTATTAGTTACATTAACCTGACATTTAAACACCATAAACATACACGAAATATGTTTGTTTTTGTTTTTTATATTCAGGCAAAGCTATGCTATGCGTCCCAAGTTTTCAACTTTCTATGGGGAAGACAGAATGTCAACAACACTCACCGCCAACTCTTTGATTACTCTTTATCTGGTCGAATTGTGGGATTTGACTGTTACTCATACCGGAATTCCGAGTCGGGCGTGGCCTAGTGGTTACGTGCCTGGACTGTGAATCTGATGATTTAGGATTTGCAGCCCGTAAGCATAAAAATGCGCTCTTCACTTTAGGGCTGTGGCTGCGCTATAAGAGTGAATGTTAATCCAACTACTCGATCAGACGAAGAGTAGTCCAAGAGTTGGCGGTGTGCGTTGGCTGTCTTTCTTCTAACCTATCAGTTCAAATTTAATAACAACATTGCACAGGTAGCCAGCCCTTTGTATAGCTTTGCGCGAACATTTCGCAATAAACAAACTTAGAGTACACCCACAGCCCCAAAGTGCGGAGAGCGTTTTTACGGCAAAGGGACACGCCTCTTATCTTATATGTTACATTTTTACCGCGAATGCAGACGTACAAAGAAATGGCATTGAACATTTAGGTTAACGTGGGGAGCCGGAGTGGGGAATTGGGCAAAAATAACATCAAGAGTTTTAAAAACTAGTTCTAATGAACGTAATACAATGAATAGGGGTAACAGCGTACAAATAAACTTACATAGTTCTATAAAACCAACATCGAATAATTGAATAAGTAACAAATGCACTTGAACATCATTATCGTTATATCAGTTACATTCATGTTAACTACATGTACCTAATCTACATAATTACACATCATATGTTACTTATACTAAATATTTACGTTGTCTGTACGGAAATAAACCAGAAGATGTGCCAAACTAAACGTCAGAATAACGTGTAATTCCCAAAAGAAATTTAGTTAAATCTTGTAGATTTTTCTTCTTTTTTTTTTCATCGGTTTATGGAAGTTGATTCTAAGTTATGATAAATATTTATAATTATTTAATGATTGTTTTTTTTTATGTTTATTTAGAAGCTGATGATTACACAGGCCTGCGATGATTTTATCGTCTTGAAATTTTTACATGTTCTGCAGTAATTCCTGTACGCTGAATCCGAACATGATTTTACATGTTCTGCAGTAATTCCTGTACGCTGAATCCAAACATGATTTTACATGTTCTACAGTAATTCCTGTACGCTGAATCCGAACATGATTTTACATGTTCTACAGTAATCCCTGTACGCTGAATCCGAACATGATTTTACATGTTCTGCAGTAATTCCTGTACGCTGAATCCAAACATGATTTTTACATGTTCTGCAGTAATTCCTGTACGCTGAATCCGAACATGATTTTTACATGTTCTGCAGTAATTCCTGTACGCTGAATCCAAACATGATTTTTCTCCTTCACGTCGAGATTTTTCACAAAACGTCATAACGCAACACATAAAAGGAAGACCACAACACGTAGTTTTGAGACTAAAAGACGTAGATTTCACAAACAAATCGGGATGAATGAGTAAACATATTCGTTTCACATCAATATTCTTCCCTTTTCCTCAGCTTGTTTGTATTTTTGTTAATAAACATAATGATAAAAAATGTTCATTATGGTAAACGAAATAATAATTTGTTCTAAGTAAGAGTTTTTTTTTCCTTCCCGATTTGTAAAAAAACCCTTACATGATAGAAAAAAAAAGAATATTATTTTTGAAATATGCGTAACTGAATTATGGAAAATCCGTTATTAAAACCGAAACAACTTTTATGAAGTTTAAGTTCGCAGGCCTGTGTTATAGTGCTTGTCTTTGCCTATGATACAAAGAAATTTACAGTCACCCATATCCTTTCTGATAAATATTGTCATTAGTGAGTTTATACTATGAATCTGAGGGCTCATGTTTCGCGTACTTTTCTTGGAAAAACGTGTCCGCACTTTGGATATAGTGAGTACACTGTACGAGTAAACTGACGATGAAATCTCATTATTCGATCAGATCAGAAATGCCCAAAAGTTTCTGGTGAGTGCTGTTGACTAGCTGCTTTCCATCTTATCTATTAGTTCAAAATTAGGGATGGCTACGAACAGGTAACCTTTGTGTTTCTTCACTCGAAGATTCTAGACAGATAAACAATTGAATAAATATTAAATTTTATATTTCCACTCTTATATATTCAACCTGACCCCCACCGGCTTTGCAAATGCACTTTTCTAAACTCTTTGTGCACCATACTGTTTGCGGATCCATGACTTTGTTGGTTAGGGGGGTCCATAATAACATACGAGTATTGCAATTAATACTACTGATGGAGTCACCTCAGTGGCTCAGCTGTAAGTCTGAAGGTTTATAACGCTAAAAACCAGGTTTCGATATTCGTGGTGGACACAGCACAGATAGCCCATTGTGTAGCTTTGTGTTTAAAAACTAACAAATAATCCCCTACGTAATTTACATAGAAAATTGGTATGATCACTCATATTATTTTTGGTTAGTTCTTTACACAAAGTTTTGTAACGAATAAAAACAAAAACATTATTCCGTGTGCAATATGTAGATCCCCACCGGTAGTGGACGGTACGAAAACAAGTCGGGAATTTGAGGGTGATTAGACAAAGTTTTATATACATAAAAGTTAAGTTGACAACGTCTTACCGATAGTGGTGATGACAGTGAGCGAGTAGAGAAAAGCTCCTGAGAATGACCATTGTTGACCAGCCTCCACTCCCTTGCCGTCATAGCCGTCCCTGACCGCGGCTATCAGAGCCGACTGGAAGTCTTGTATCTCAGAGGTCACAGTTCTGGTCCAATTTTCTCTGTATAGTACATTATAATTGCACGTGATGTCCCACAGTCGCTTTACCGTCTGTTCCCGCATCTCGATCACTTCACTCGCCTTCTCTTCCTCGTAGGGAGCCTCGAGCGCCCTGAAAGCGAAAGCGCCCATGATGCTGTATCCGATCACTAGTCCGCACAAACCGACGTGGGAAAACATGAAAGCTGTGAATTTCCGGCAGCAAGTTTTACATTTGTTAGCTGGCCGTCGCTTCTTCGTGGGATGGTGACCTTCTCTTCTACTTCGCCGAGATGATCGTTTTCTCTCCAACGTCATTCTGGAGGTCAGCTTTAAACGCGTAGTCTGAACAGAAAGCCACTCAACGTAGTCATCTTTACAACCAATTTAGAACATTGCATTCTCGCCATTTCAACGATATTTCAGGCACTCATTCGCAAGTGCAAGCAACGAGCTTGCTTGACTTTAACTTCTCGAGCCGTCATACACAAACACATCTATACACAAACCACATGGTCCGTGTCTCTAGACCAACATCGCACACTGTCGTCAATTTTTAGAGTCGCGTGAGCTGACAGCTAGTGCCATCTATTGTTAAAACGTTCATCAAAGTGCTTCATTCGTTTAGGAAACGGTTAAGGTTGCGCGAAACGTTAAAGCATATTGTAAATGTAAACCAAAAACGATAACTACGTATTACACTGGCCAGACGTGGCCCATATTAACGTGCCGAACGTTGAATCTGAGTGTCTGTGGCTCACGTTCCATTGCTGCAGAATCACGTTCTGCATTCTGAGGGCCGTGAAAGCGTTATAAAAGTGGCAGTTAAATCTCTCTATTCGATTAGAATAGCCCAAGAGCTGGCGGTGGGTGCTGTTAAATAGATCTAGTCTATCATATGAAATTTAGGGACGATCAACGCACATGACTATTATGTGACTTTGTGAGAAATATCCGAAACAGACATAATTCGTGTATAGGTATTACTGTAACTACTGTCTATCGATATAGAAACAGATAGGTAAAGTTTCAGGATCAAAGATTGATTTTCATAAAAATTCAGTTTTGGGTTCAGAAACATATATATATATATATATATATATATGTATGTGTGTGGAAGGTTATCAGATCTGAGACATCGGCCACGTTTCATAATATTGTTTGTTTGTTTTAAGTTAAGCACAAAGCTACACAATGGGCTATCTGCGCTGCGCCCACCACGGGTATCGAAACCCGGTTTCTAGCGTTGTAAGTCCGCAGACATACCGCTGTGTCACTGGGGGCATCATAATATTACCCGTGGTGGGCAGAACACAGATAGCCCATTGTGTAGCTTTGTGCTTAATTACAAATAAACAAACCTAGTGGAATTAAATCACCAGCGCGTAGTCATGAATGTTTACAAAATATGAATAATTACGGTCTGCATAAGTTAACTTATGAATGTTGGTCAGCATTATGTACAGTAAAACCCAAAACACATTGCTGTAGTCAAATGATAAAGGTCAAACACGTTTCGATAAAGTGATAATGGCCAAAATGTTTTGATAAAGTAAATTTTAATGCTAACGCTAGTATAAATAAGATTTTGCCGTGTGTGATCTATTTCAAGAATTTCTTTTCGAGCACTTAATTTCCCAAGTCGAAAAAGCAACAACTTGGCATTGAGCATTGAACGTATGAGTTTGTGAAGTTTCTTTGATCTCTGATATCTTTAGAATATTAGAATACTGTTAATTAGAATACTGGAAGACACTTAATGTCATTACCCTTGTAGAACTTATCGACAGTGGAACAGAGATCCGTAGTTTCCAATAACTTTCAACACCAGTGTCAGTAGATAACCAGAAACACGTCAAAGTCGTTGTCATCTGGAATACGGTGGCTAAGTGATTAAGACTTGCAGCTTAAAATTGTGAAGATGTTCTTGCGAAAATCACAAGCAAAGACGAGTATGTTAGAGAGTGGAGTGAAACATCACAAAGAAAGACAACTAATATTTTAACTCAACAGCCACTGTTTGAATTTCCAGTAGGAAAACCAATACCATTTCGACTACTTTTTGCTTCGTTGAAAATATTTTTTTAGTTTCAACTACCTACGGTACTTCGGAGGCGACGTTTGGAACGGATCTTCTGCAGGTTCTGACATTTGGAACAGATCTTCTGCAGGTTCTGACGTTTGGAACAGATCTTCTCCCGCTCCTGACGTTTGGAACTGATTTCTTGCAGGTTCTGACGTTTGGAACAGATCTTCTGCCGGTCCTGACATTTGGAACTGATCTTCTTCCGGTTCTGACGTTTGGAACAGATCTTCTACCGGTCCTGACGTTTGTAACTGATATTTTGCAGGTTCTGACTTTTGGAACAGATCTTCTGCCGGTCCTAACGTTTGGAACTGATCTTCTGCAGGACTTTTAAAGGCCACAATAAAGATTAAGATATTTGGATAAAATATAGCGTTTTCATAAGGGAGTACATTTTAATTCTAGCATCAGCGGAAGTCAGATTTCGCCAAACGTTTCTGTTTCTCAGAACTTGTTTTCACGCACCATATTTCTTAAGTCTTCTAACTAACTCGAAAAAAGTTTGTTTTAGGCAATGAACAAGTAACACTATAAAGTGTAGGTTTCAGCTCCTTCCCCCAATGTCTTAGCTTTGGGTGCGCAACTTGATAAATGATGAGGGAATATGTATAACTTGAAGAAGTTCAACAAAATATTTTAACTATGGAGAATGAATACAAAAAAACGTTGAAAGAAAGTTTCGGAATGTTAACTGCTAAATAGCTTAGATCCTAGGCACTCTTTGTGATCTTTGTGTAACGGCAATTACTGTATAACTTAACAACGGAAGGTAACTAGCTGGTCTTAATGATTCAAAGTTTCATTTGGTTCGGGTGACACTGGCTCTTGAACAAAACATTGTGAAAGTTTCAGTTGGTAAGGATGACACTGGCTCTTGAACAGAACATTCTAAACGTTTCATTTGGTTAGGATGACACTGGCTCTTGAACAGAACATTCTAAACGTTTCATTTGGTTAGGATGACACTGGCTCTTGAACAGAAC